CCGGGTAATATTCAACCCGGGTACCATCACTATTGAATCAACAAAAAGAAGTATACAGAAAGTTTTATTAGGGTGTTGGACTCCATTATTATAAATAATCCAAATCCCTTTTTGTTTGAGAAGTTAGCATGGTAATAACCTAATTCTATCTATCTTTAAGAAGCCGCTATTATGCTAACTTCTCCAAAACAAAAAGGGATTGTATTATTTTTAATAATGGAGTCCAACAACCCTAATAAAACTTTCTATACACTTCTTTTTTGTTGTTCTTTGTAATTTTATTTTTTTTAAAAAGTACTTTAAACTGTATAAATAATGTAAAATTAAATTGATTTAAACAACCAATCATACCAAAGTCTTCCTATGACCACATATCACTAATAAAATTATACATCTCTAAATCTCTAAATATACTTAATAATTATTTAAAAAAAATTTATTTAATATATGACGGTGCTTGATGCTTTACAGTGATTAATTACAGGTTTTCGTTATTGCTATACATGTTATTATGCTACTCGGTTACATTGTACCTCCTATTATACAACTTTATTTTCAAGTACCTTATATATTTGCATCCAATCTTCCAAAGAGACAATACTCCAACTCTTTGGTTCAGCAGCAAGAGTTTTTATCCAATCACCGATATTATTACGATAAATAATATCACCCTCATTATTAAGAAAATATGAAGTATTAACATCATTAAATTCTTTATTCCATATTTCTAAAAGATTTTCGATTTTTTGATGTATATCAGGATCATCGTCTTTGAGATCTAATTGTTGCGTTGGAATGTTTGCAGGGTAATTATTTGATATATATTTTTTTGATAAAACTCCACCTAAAGTTAAAGTTTTCGGTAATAAATGTCCATAATCCTCGCCGAATAACTTGCGAAGAGTTTCAGATTTAGATGGTTCATTTTGGTCCTGAAGTGTAGAATCTACCGCATTTAAAAATTCTGGTAAATATTTAATATCTGATAGATCAAAAGAAATCTTTATTGTATGAAAAATGATTTGGCAATAAATTGCATTAGAAAATTGCTTTTTAGTGTTCTTAAAGTTTTCCAAAGGAATGTCAGGTATTAAATTATGCTCAGTAAAAGGAATTTTATCAAGTTCTATTCCATCCTCTTCCTTTAAAATAATACCATTTTCTAATAAATAAGCTTCTTGACGAGTCTTAGGTTGCGTTAAGATGATAGTAATTTTATTTATTTGAGTTATTTTAGGTTCCCTTAAAAATTTAAAAGCAGACTTCTTAGCTCGTCCCAATTTTGAACGCTGTAAAATTATACCATAATTTAATGAATAGTCTTGAATCCAATCACATATATATAACATTAATGGGAGTTTTGACGATAACATTAATGGGAGTTTCGACGATGTTACCCACTCCAAAACACTTTTTTTATCATATTGAGAGTGAGTTCTTGAAATCAATTCTGACTCATCAATATGTTGAATATTAGAATATTCTAATGTTTTTTGAACCAAATCTTCCGGTAATAATTGATATGTCGGCTTAAATTTTTCATATGATATAATTTCTAAGCACTCATAATTATATAGATCTTTAATCCATCTGAATAAGTCCCCGGCATTTTGCACCTTTTTGGAATTTATATATACATTCAAGTCGTCAATCAATGCATCTTCAAAGTTTTTTAATCTTATACCCTTTGCATATTCAATGCTCCATTGAAGATAGGTTTTTAAGCGCGATCTATTTGCATCATCGATTTCAGACCAATTTTTAATTGTAATAATACCCCCAACAGTTGCAGACGTGACTAAGTAATTACCATAATCATTAAACTTTTCTTCTAACACCCTGCTTCTCTCAGTTGAATCTAAATGCTCAATTGCATCTCTAATATCTTGAACAAATTCTTTTGTCGCATCACATTGGTAATGTAAAGTTAAGATTGGAATGTGGATTTGTACATCATTATATTGAGTTTCTATCCCAGTTTCTTTAGGTAAATAGATAATTGGAATCGGCAGATTTATTTTTTCTTTTTTTAAATTTCCATTGTTTCCTACTACAGAATCTGTTTCAAGAACGAGATCCTGATTAATATAATTCCTACCTTTATTCAAATCAAATTGATCAATAAATAGTTCATGTTCAATATGTGTAACATCCTCCGTTTGTAGTGTTTCAAGTTCATTCAAAACAAATTCTAGTGATGGACGCTGGGATGGTTCAAAAGACCAGCATTTATTGTAGAGATTAACATAATTTGAAGGTGTATTATCAATTGTTTTTTCTCGCAGACCTTTTCCAATTTCTAAGGCTAGAAGCAATTTATTAGAGAAATTAGAAAATGGAGGGATTCCGCTTGTAAGTTCCCAAAATAATACACCTAAGCTATATATATCAGATCTTTTATCACGTTTTACTGTTGTTTGTTGAATAAAACATTGTGGTTCAATATACGTTGTCATGCCAACCATAGCGGAATTTATAGTGTTAGAGTCATTCAATTGTTGTGCATATCCAAAGTCAGCGATTAATGCTCTATTATTATTTATTAAAATATTTTTGGAATGCTAGGATTTTATAAATAATTTAGTAATTTGACATTTAAATGAAAACTTATATGTATTTAAAAAAAAAAACACACCAGATCCCGATGAACTATATCATGATCGTGTAAATACTTCAACCCACTAGTAATATCCTTCGCAATTTGGATTAGTTCAGTCCATGAAATTTTATAAAGTCCTATATATTGTTTTTTTTCTAGATGATCTCGTAAATTTCCGCCATTAGCCAATTGTAGAACAAGCATAACATTTTCAGCATTCACAGTTGGACCTGATATTTAAAAACAGACAAATGAGAAATATGGTCTAAACTAGAGTTAACTTTTTGTACTATACCTCTTGTAATTCCATGGAATTTTATTACGTTTGGATGATCAATTTTATGAAGTCTAAGCTATGAATAATTATGAATAATATTATAACATTATCCTTTAGATTTAATGTTAAAAAAACATAACGAATATTAAATTACCTCACGCTCTAATAACTTAACCGATTTATCATCATAACCCAGGTTATTATTTAGACACTTTAAAGCATAAGACTTTTCATGGTAAACGATAGAATATACTAGGGAAAAGCCTCCACGCCCAATTAGTTTACGGTTTTTACATTGAGAATAATTGAATTCTTCTATATTAAATTTTGTTAAAAGCTTTTCCACTTGAGAATAATTTTTATCATCTGCCATAATTCTTGATAGAAATAAATGAGACTTAACTTTGCCTACATTCAAAATAATTCATTAATATATAATTACACAGAATTTTATTAAATTACCTTAAAATAAGGTTGTCATTTAATGTACATACGTATTTGAGTGTATCGCCATATATCTGATATAGAAATTTAATAATCTAAAAATGATTACTAAATGAAAAATCAGATGATCAACATATTTACGTATATCTTAAACTTCACGAATGAGAATGTAGGTTTGTCATCGGTGTTATTATGCATGTATGTTTTTTTGTTTACCATAATCATTAGAAGCATAATGTCGCATAGTGAAACGTAATGATACGTAGTGCAGTCCAAATTTCTATAAATAATAAAAATATTACTACGTATCAAACTCTTATATACGCACAATCATAATTTCTATATTGTAAACCATAATGTTTAAAAAATGGGTTATTTTTATTAAAAATTAACAATTAATAATAATTGAAATAAGATTATATAATAATATTTATTTGTTTGATTCTATTGAAAATATGTCTACTTAAAGGCTAAACATATATAGACTAATCTTATTTACAATTTTGGTATACCGATACGTAGTCATTTTTGTAATATTTTAGGAAATAGGCGCTGTTGTACATCCGGACAATCATTCTGTTATTGATCACGTGGGCGAACAGACTGGTAATTGCACGTCGGTGTGCTTGGTGGCGCAGATTTCCTGAACTACAAATTAGATTTCAGGATGTGTAAGGTGAGAAAACAGAAAGATTTAAAACCAACGCACGTACGTTTTGTCAAATTTCTTATTTTTCTAACAAAAAAGGGTTTGGATCAAAATCCCGACAATCAGAATCTCGACAAAACAAATCAAGACAAAAATTGACCGGAACTACAGTAACCCAACTGACTCTAACCTTTTCCTTGAACGATTTTACTATATAATTTGCTAACGTTTAACTCAAATATAAATACTAACC